GTCCTAGCTACTCAGGAGCCTGGACAGGCCCAGACCCCGAGCTCCCATGAGCGAACGTTGGGAGACACGGACACAGGCCCAGGCCCGAAGTTGGAAGCTAGTCAGGTCACACTTCCTCTGGCCGGCCGCTCAGCTGTTGGGGACCGGCCGGGGCCGCCCGCCCTGCCCAGGTGCGGGGCCCGGGGCCAGTTTCCCAGCTGGCAGGAGGTGCGGGGGTGGAGGCGAGTGCGGGGCTACTGCGTCCCTGGGGCGCGCATGCGCCCGGCACCAGCGGGGGGGCCCTTGGGCCGCAGAGCCGGCCCTGGAGGCGGCCGGCTCGGGCGGGGAGAAGCGGGACCGAGGGGGAAGGCGATCCGGGTCCCGCGCTGGCATCACGCTGCTCGCACCGCTCCTCCTGCCGCACCTCTACACTGCTAGCCGAGGCCGGATACAGAGGGGCACCGAGTCACCCAGCACCCCGGGGACAGTCGTGACGGCCGGGCTCGGCCTCCCTGCTCCGCTCCCGAGCTGACCTCCCCTCTCTCTCCTTCGCAGCCATACTGGAGTAACCGCTGCTAGAGCGTTTGCGGAAATGTCGGGGGGCTCGGGCGCGCATGCGCGCTGAGCGCCACGCCGGCCCGTCTCTGCTGATTGACGTTGGGGAAAGTAGACGCTCCCAGCCGTGGTGCGGGCGGCAGCCGGTAGCGATGCGCATGCGCATTGTAGCTTCGTGAGTCAGCGCCGCTGCCGACGAGTTCGGTTCTCTGCTGCAAAGAGGGGAAGGTTCCGAAGCCTCCCGAAGCCGAGCCCGCCGCGGCCCGGCCAACACCTGGCGCGCGCCCGCTGCATGCCGCGCCGCCGCCCCGCCCCAACCCGCCGCGCACGACCCTCGCCCCGTACAGCCCGCTTGTTCCCGACCTGAGCAGCAGCCGCAGCGCTCCCGCAGCCTCCTCACCGCACTCAGCGCCACTATTTAATGAAAGCAGAAGTAGACACGCGGGTGCGATGCCTTGTGATGCGTTTACCCTAATAAAATGCGAGCCTCCATCGTCCCGCACGTGCCTTCGTGACTCCCGGCGCGGCCGTCCCGGGCTGCGGCCGGTCAGTGCGCCGAGTCCCCATGGGCGGCCGGGGAGGGTGGGGCCACGAGCACGGCAGACCGCCTGTCATGGATAAAACCGCGGAGGGCACGGAGGACAGGCCACGGGCGACGGCCAGGGGGGCTTGGGGAGACCGCATTGTAGTTGCCGATCCTGGGGCTCGAACTCGCGGCTGGGCGCGTCCGCTCTTGCGCTCTGGGCTGGGGCTGTCCGCTGTCTCCCGTCCGTCCCTCGCCGGTCAGCGATGCCCGGGCTCCCGGCAGCCGGGGCTGGCCGCTCGGCCGGGCTGGCTCAGCTCTCAGCGGGCAGCACTCCGCCTGAGCCACGCTCCGGCCGGCTTCTCCCCGGCTCCACGGCCGCCCCCAGCGCCCTCCCGGTCGGTCCGCACAGCCTCACGTGGGCAGCGGCGGGGCAGCTGGACACCGGCCTCCTTTATTGCTGTTGATCCGCCTTCCTGAGTAGCTGGGGTTACAGGCGCGCGCCCACAAGCCCGGCCCCTTCACGGCATGAGGCCGGGGACGCGGACCCCGCAGCGACCTCGGGCCGAAGCCGCGGCCGTC